GACTCATCCTTTCTCTAATGGCAATCATTCCATGAATGAATCACGATTTGTTTTTCAAAAGAGTGAGACAACATTCCCAGACGAAAAGGGAAGGGGGTCGTTAATTTTTATCATGTCTAAGACATGATAAAAATTAACAAAAAGTTTTTTTTTTTTTTTTTTTTTTTTTTTTTGAGTTGGAGAATTTTTCTCAGCTCTGAAAATTTTTTTCCAGCCGACTCGAGACTTTACCATTTATATTTACGAATAGTCTTTGGATTATTTATTTATTTTCTTTTAAAAAGAAAAATTCTGAGCTAGACCTATCTATTGGCTTAACATTCTGGTCATAGAAACAGTCTAGAATCTCATTTTATTTTTCGAGGCTAATGCACGGGTTCTCCAATCAAAAGGGTTACTATAAAGGGATTGGTTTGAATGCATTTATCTGCAAATGTTGTAGGATTCTGTTGTTGAGAAGGGGGTATATTATTATTATTATTATTATTATTATTATTATTATTATGATGATGATGATGATGATTGTGGCAGATTCGTTTTCTACATGGAAGTCTAATCTCCTCCGAAGACCTTTTCTGGGGATCGTCGATAGATGGTTTTTCAATAGGAATCGTTTCCCTCGGATCCTCAAGAGATAGAGGGGGGTCCTGTCTTGAGACATGGAGCGGTCTCTCCTCCTCCTCCTCCTCGAGAAGTCTTGAGAAAGGGAGAGGATTTTCGGTTCCCTTATTCTTGAGGGGTCTTGACAAATTGAGAGGTCCCTCCTCTTCGAAAGAGAGAGAAGTTTTGGTTCCCTTATCCTCGAGGGGTTTTGACAAATCGAGAGGTCCCTCATTTTCGAGGGGTCTTGATAAATGGAGAGGTTTTTCATCTTCGAGGGGGTTCCCTCCTTCTCGAGGGGTCTTGATAAAGGAGAGGTTTTTCATCTTCGAGGAGGTTTGACAATGGGAGAGATCTCTCCTTCTCGAGGGGTCTCTCTTCCTCAAGGGGTTTTGAGGAAGGGAGAGGTTTTTCATCCTCGACGGGTTTTGACAAACGGAGAGGAATCTGAACAGGCTTCTCCTCATCCCCATCATTATCGAGGAGGATGAGGATAGGCTTTTGGAAAGGTTTTTTCTTTTTCTTCTGAACAGGCTCCTCTTGATGCTCGGGGAGAGGGATGGGGTAGTTGTTCCACCATTCTATTTTTTCTTGCTCGAGGATTTTTTCAAAAGTCGTGGCCTCTCTAAGATGAGACGAAGGAGGAGAGTCCTCGAGAAGAATATAATAGGTATTCTTCCCAGTCTTCTCGATCGAGAGAGGTTCGTGCAAACATTTGTGCAACCATTCACTAAAATGAACGAGAATCCCTTTTGTCTTCTCAAGACGATCCATAATCCTATTCATTTGCGAGACGGTTAGAAAGTGGGACGTGTAAAAATATTTGGCTCGTTTCATTAACAAAATTTGTGCATCCAAAGGTGGAATGTCACGAGCCATCAACACGTTTTCGTCGGACAAAAATTCGTCCCGCATCTTTTGATAACTCCCCACGGTATAATAACCCGCACATTTTGAAAAATCGGAGGCTTTCAGGTAAACGACTCCTTGGATGATATAAAAGGAAAGATCAACATATTTATATTTGAAAGGAATACACGTAGTGAGCTGGGGATGCCTCCTCATGATCCACTTGGACAAAAATACGACTTTGGGGCTCTCCCCTTTTATTTATAGAGAGAAAGAGAGTGTGACCTTCCCTTCCCTCCTCCTCCTCTCTCCCTGCTTCCTCTATCTCTGGACGTCCTTGGATTGGAAAGGGTGACTTTGAAAAAAAAAAGAAGGTCATGGTTGGATAATTTTTTGTTTATTAAATTATTACTTTCACTTCCTCATTCCCACACACATTCATCTTTTTAAGAAAAGAAAAAGAGGTCATGGAGATAAGATTTCTTGGAAAGAAGAGAGAGAGAAACAAAAAAAAACAAATAAAACGGACGTCATAGAGCCTCTATGTGTGTCTGTGTGTGTCTATATAGATATATAAAAAGACGAGAGTACTGGGCGAGATCATTTCTTTTCCATTGGGAGCCATGTCGCTATTAGACGTTTTTCCAACTCAACGGATTTCGAACGGGGAGGATTTGAAGACGCTAAAGCAAATCTCCAACTTGAAAATTTTTTTGGCGTGTCATTGTGCGACATTTATTCCGCATTTACCACCTCATCAAGCGATCGTTTCTTTCAACCAAGATGTCGAATCCTCCAACCTGCTCGTTCAGAATATATACAGAAATTTATTCGAATCGCAACAAACGAAAGAGGAATCTCCCTTCTCTTGGAATCGGATGGATCGAGCTTTGAGACGGCCCATTCAAACAGACCGGCGATATACGGATCCGCGCACGAGTTTTCGGTGGAAGAATATTTTTCTCACGAAACGATATTTTACGTTTGGAGTGAGAACGACGGCTGAGGACGAAGTTCATATTGTTCAAACCACAGCCGCTCCTCTCGCCTATTACGAATCATCGTCCCCCAATCTGAAGGAAAGAAGTTTTAAAGTCAGCGACAGGATGAAATATAAGAAATATATTCTAAGACCTTTTCAAAACTATGTCGTTCCCCCGAAAACGCAATATCTCATCGTCACAACCCAGAAGAGTCTCTTTCTCGTCGATCGGTGCTCGTACTCGCTTTGGAAACAATTGAAAGAGGAGATTTCTTTCCAATCGCCGATGATGTTTCAAGAAAAAGAAGAAGAAAACCCTCCGCCACCTTTACCCATCCCTTCCTTAGATGATAAGAGGAGCTGGACCAAACCGTCGTCATGGCCCGAAACAAAATCGACCCGGCAACGGAATGAAATTGAAGTCATCACAATTGAAGATGAGGAGGAAGAAAAAAAATTACCTCTTAAAAAACGGTCGACTTACCGGAACCTACCTGGCGTGCAAGATCCGCTTCAGAATCCAGAAGCTTCTTCTTCTTCTTCTTCTTCCCCGACTTGTTCAAACAGGCAACCTCTTTCGGACTCCTCACAGACAGAACCTCTTCCAGTATCCTCTTCTTCTTCTTCTCCAACCTGTCCCGACATCGTAGAGGTAGAATGTCAGACGGGTCCACAAGCTTCAAAAAGTCCCGACATCGTAGAGGTAGAATGTCAGCCGGGTCCACAAGTTCCAACGGGTCCAGAAATCATGGAGGCAGAATCACAGCCGGGTTCACAAGTTCCAACGGGTCCAGAAATCATGGAGGTAGAATTTCAGCCGGGTAAACAAGTTCCAACGGGTCCAGAAATCATGGAGGTAGAATCGCAGCCGGGTCCAGACATCCTAGATCCCTCCACTCATCCCAAAGAGACTCCAAGTGTTTCAAGACAGCCTTGTGAGGATCCAGCCCTTCCCGTATGGAATGATTATATGGACTTACAAAATTTGGTGCAACAGGAAGGAGAAGAAAATAATCATACGGATGGGTGGGTCAAAGACTGTTTAGATCATTTAACCTCGAATGAAATTGAACTGTTATGGAATTGCATTTCTGAAATCACATCGGAAATGGGATAAAAACCAAAACAAAAAAAAAACAATTTTTTTAATAACAAATGGGAGGAGGGTCATGATGTCAATTAAAAAAAAAATATTATATAGAGTCCAATCTTGGTGGTTCACTTCAGTTTTCCAGCATGAGGTGATCCACGTTTCCCGAAATATGGATCCCATTCCAAGAGAGATTGTGTAGAGCCTTCACTTCAGTTCTTTTTTTTTCCTACCAAGAGGAGAGGGTCCCCAAAGGGCTACCCATGTCCAAAGAGAGAAAGTGTAGAGCGTTCATTTCAGTTTTTTTTTCCAAGTTTAGGGGAGGGAGGTCTCAAAATGACACCCCCCATTTTCAAAGAGAGATGGTGTAGAGCGTTCATTTCTGTTTTTTTCCAAAGTTAGGGAGTTTTCAAATGGCTACCCATTTCAGAGAAAGAGAGAGAGAGAGAGAGAGGTGTAGAGCGTTCATTTCAGTTTTCCAACATTAGAAGGTCCCAAAATACCTTCTGAATTCAAAGAGAGATCGTGTAGAGCGTTCATTTCCAGTTCTCCAAGATCAGAAGAAGAGGGTCCGCTTTTCCCAAAAGGGCTTTCCGCATTCAGAGACAGCGAAATGCAGACTTCAGTTTTCTCCCTCCCCAAGAATAGAGGGTCCCAAAATGGCTTCCCATTTCAAAGAGAGAGGGAGAGGCGTTCATTTCCATTCTCCAAGATAGGGTCGTCTGCTTTTTCCCAAAATGGCTTCCCAATTCAAAAAGAGAGAGAGAGAGAGAGTAAAAGGGTGTGTAGAGCGGTCATGTTCATTCTCCAAGATAGGGTCGTCAGCTTTTTCTCAAAATGGCATCTCCCCATTCAAAAAGAGATCGTAACCAATTTTTTCCAGTTTTTTCCAAGATGGGGGGGAGAAGAAAACCTAGGATGGAATAACACGACACACAGAGAGAAAGAGAAAAAAAACGCCATCTTGTCATTTTCTGATAGGGTACCGGTGTTCGAATACTTTGTGACTGGGACTAAAAAAGCGGGAAGAAAACGAGTTTTCCTGGCCCATCTTTTGGCGGAGCATCCCCTGACGACCAGAGTCTCTTAGTACGTCAACTGCAGTATCTCTGATTGACGACGCGGCAACACTTTTCACGCGCCTTCGACAACTTCGGTACTCAGAGAATATAGGATGTCGGGCAGACCTGTTTTTTACTAGCAGCGACATCTGGCGGCCCACAACTTGCTGTCGACTCTCATAGCGTAGAATAACCGTCCAGGTGAAACTAGTCGATATTTCCGTGACTTCAAAAATTCGAAAAGTGGGGTAGGGTTTGGAAAGGCTGTGTCTACCCGTACGACGTCGGACGGCTAGCTCAAACATGGCAAAAATGCTAAACGTACGACTAGTTGCGCAGAGACACTTTCGTGATTTCTGCGCATTCCGACCAGTCGTAAAGAGAATTTTGTTTACATTTGCAATACCTGTGGGTAAGAGCCTTACCTGTGGCTAGAGTGTGTTAGATTTCTGATATGATAAAATGTTATTTATTTTTATGAATAACTTATTGACACATATCTAAAGTTAAAAGAACCACATATTTTATATAAAATTATTCCTTTTTTTAATAGTTTGTTTAATTCGAAAAGGATTTGGTCAATTTAAGTAAGCAGATTTTGATTTTCCGCAGTTGGTTATTTTAATGACAAATGACAATCCTAATATAAATTACATAAATATTCAAAATAAAGCAATTAAGTTGTTAATGTGTTTTCATTTTTCAAAAGTGTGCGTAAATGTTTCGATATATTTATGACTAAGGACGGTAACTAGCAGACTGTGTTTTAATTTTTTTTTTTTTTTTTTTTTTTCTTTTTTAATAATAACACTTTTATATTTACCATTGACTGAGAAGATGCTACGTCATTCTTTCAAGAAAGGAGCATTCTACTTCATTTAAGATGAATTTACAAAAAATCTTGGTGATGGGAAATGCAGAGCTGATATCTATGGATTGTGAATGAATGCATTTTTAATTCTCTTGACATTTTTCTCAGATGTGTGCTAATGATGTTAGCATTTTGTAATGAGAAGCATTCTATTTATGTAAAAATGCATTTATAATTTTCTAATGCTGTACAGAAAGAATTCTAAAGCTGAATCTTTTTTAAAAAATTGTGCTGTACCAATTGCATCAGATCTGCACATATGTAATTTGAGAACATAGAAAGCTTAGCTTGCCATCTTGAACAACAGTGGCATGAAGTGGTGACTTTTTTTAATTGTTAAGAGATATGTCCATAACATACATCAATAATACACACTAGTGGTAACTCCCACCTAGCTGGCTAATACTCCTCTTGAACTGTAGGCCTTTCATTCAAATACAGTGAGATTTTTTTTAGCTGTAATATTTTGAAATTAGATAAAGACTTGATATATATTTCATCTATTAATGGGTCTTCATTGTTTATTTTGTCATGCTTATAATTTCATATTCAGTGTTCTTGTTCTCTAGTAAATGTTATGAAGTATATGTTTTACAAACTATACATGTGTATTAAATAAAAATAACTTTTGTTATTATCTATAAAGTGGTAAATAATTTATTTATTAAAATGGGTTTTTTCACATACTTATTTAATGGAGTTGTTTAACTAATTAAAATAAAATATAAAATAATTAATTTCAAAGCAGAAGGCAAATTTACTTTGAGTTTGTCTATAAGAACTCATAAATCTTTAAAAAGGCATTGTTTTTCATTAAAAAATATTTAAATTTTCTTTTCTATTAGAAAAGATAACTTGACATTTGCATTATTGATGGATTTCAGCCTTTTTTTTATAAATCTTATATATTAGTCTATTTTAATAAGACTAAACTTCTAAAATATGTCTCTATTATTTTCCCGTTCTATAAATGGTGCTTAGATTATCAGTAATTTGTCAACACAAATCATTATCAAATAGGCAGCAACTCTAACCATGATTATTTATAGTTTGCTGATAGTGAGAAGAGCTCCAAACCACTTATTATCTTACTTTCTCTTTTTTTTTATTCATGTTACCATATCACAATCACTTATAGTAATCACAATCAATCATCTCATGAGTAGAGCTCCGAGTATTCCACCTGTTATTGTATTTTTTTAATGCAAGGAAGATGTTATATCTTTCGATACTCTTCTGTTATCAGACCTGATTTAGAAATGTGTGTGTGCACAGATACATGAATACATACATCCACATATGTATGCATACATACATACATTTCTGAATCAGGTCCCAATAACCGAAGAGTACCTATCTTTCTTCCAAGAATGACATATTTGAACCTCCAGAAATGAATGTTAAATAAAACTACAGCTCGATAAAAGCATTCGGAGATAGACTAGAAAAAGTTGCAAGTGAAGGAATAGCATACTGGTTCATTGTGCTTTTCCTTTTCATATTAATAACTGCTGCAATGGTTTTAGAATATTAATTTATAATGGAGCAATGATTTATTTACTGTTGGGCTTAGGAACCAATATCAATTAAGCCAGCTTTTACGAATATCCGACTAAAATTGATTAGACCAATTTTATAAGACAGGTTTATTCAGTACATCTACTCCAAACAAATAAACAAACTGGTGGCCTGTCAAACTAAACAAAAGTCTGTTCATAAGAGGGAGGGGGAACTAACAGAGTTCTTCCACAATATTGGATATCCCAAGAAATTTGTGATTTCTTAATTAAGTTTCAAGTAGAGAGACAACAAAATTCATGTAAAAAATTGTCAAGCGATGTACAAATGGTATTGATGATTTATTTAAGCTGTTGCGTAGCCTATAAAACATAGGAACTGGCAAAAGCATGATAAAAACATCTTATGGTACACCATAAATTTTGTTTTATTCATTCAACAACAGCTGCTCATATGCTATATGTTGAAAGACTATGAAGCTCTACTAAGTGCTGGAGTAAAAAGGAAGTGCAGATCACCATCATTATGAGTCTTCCGGTTAGAGTAGATAGAAGGGTAAACCTTATATTATCACGAAATTGTTTCATTTATGGTAGCCTGAGTACTTGAATGTTATGGAAACCCTATTATGCTGTAATCGGTTGCATGATTGCTGTAAATTTGTAAGGGCTTGTGTTGTTTGTTGGTTATTAAATATATTACTTGTTTTGTGGTTTAGACAGTAAAATGGCTGAATGTGGTAAGATTAATTTGAAGTTTCTCTATGATTTGGAAAGAAAGGGGGAAAAGAGCATAATTTGACTGGTACCGTCTTTTTCCAAAAATAAGACACTGTCTTACTTTCTTTTTTGGTCCAAAATACGCGCTAGGGCTTATTTTTGGGGAAGGGCAAAAATGAAAGTATATTTATATATTTTTATTTAATATTTATTTTACACGGAATACAGAAATTTAAATTTATTCAATTACAGTCATGTCATCTTCTTCTGGAACATCGTCATAAATAAAATTCTGAATTATATTCTGATTTTCTTCCAAATACATTTCCTGTTGAATCATTGGTCCGAATCTCTCATGTCTTGCGATATAGCTATCGTTAAATGAATACTTCTTGTCTAAGTAGCCTGTTCATAGTGCATTGGAAACATCACTATCAGTTATTTTATTCCCTGAATTTTTTACCCAATTCACAATTTCTTGTAAGCCTGGTTTTACAAAATTACCTCGATGATTTCTCACCATTCTGTTTGTACAGATTATGTACATATTTATATATAAGTGAAAATAGGTTGATGTGTACATGTATACCAAGTATGTGCAATTCTTAAAAACGTGCCAAACAGTGGGTGATTCTGCGCTTTTCCCATGCCAAGTTTGTGCAATTCTGGGATGTTTTTAATTGAAAATAGGTTGATGTGTACATGGATACAGAGTCTGTCTTATTTTGGCTTTGTGTAGCAGTGATTTTTGGTGCAAAATTTGCCGCTACTCAAGTCAAAGAATTGCACAAGCTCTGTATCCATGCACTGCCAAAAATCACCAATTTTTGCCAAGGGCTACCAGTAAATATACATTTTACCAGTCTTCCTTGCCAAGTTCTTGAGGTAAAAGTACTTGGAATGAGAAAATGCTTCTGATGCCGTTTTAAAGCAATTGTGTCAATATGGCTATCACAAAGTGTAATTGAAAAGAAAAATGAGTGTCGATGATCCTTATACCAGCTTGGATTAAAAAACAAGGCCATATTAATAAGGAAATATCATAAATTTTGTTTGTAATTCCGAAATGTTTTCCTGATCATTTAAAAAAAAAAAAAAAAAAAAAAAAGGAATACTGGTTAATAAATAATTTGGTTGTGGAAAAAAAATCCGGTTTTTGATAGATGTTTTTTAATTTAGAAAGAAAATTTATATTTTAAAAAATAAATTTATCTTTAGATAGTTATATTTATTAACCATTAGTATTGCAAGAATCTTTTGGTTATGAGGTAGTATGTGATCTACCACTTTTAGTCAGTTATTTGTTTCTTAGATGGCATGCATCAGTGAAATGCTCTTTAATTGTGAAAATAAATATAAATAAGAATATATAAATGGATAATTTCTTTTTAGGTGTTGTTTCTGTGATATATTTAAAAGATTTTGCACTGACTTAGTAGCAGTGGAACTTGCATAATGTCTGTGTTCCTCTAGTGGCAGGTCGAAGTACAAATTATGAAAAACAGGAAGCTATCACAGTTGTTAGACTACTGCAAATAATATTTCTCAATTAGTGATCTGAAATATTTGATGCAGAATTTTTGAATTGTATATATTTTCGAAATGATGGAAATATTGTGATGTTGAAAATTTAATAAATAATACCAGACATGTATTGAAAAATATATAATTTTGTATAAGTATTGTGCTTTAGTCTGATAAGCATATTGATTGCTTTCTTATTAAGTACAGTTGATGAAACAGAAATTTTACCATAATTTAGCAGTTAAGAGTAATCTTTAATAGTATATAAAGCTTCAGGGGGAAAAAAAACTGTAAATATTTCAGAAGGGAAAAAAAAATTTGCTATATACAGTCAAAAGTCGTTAATTCGGACACCCATAATCCGGAATGATCTATAATCCGGACCTCAAAGCTAAAAACTTTCTGCGCATGCGCCGCGTTGGCACATGCGCACAGGCGTTTTACGCATGCGCGTAAGACTTTGACTACTGCGCATATGCGTATGCGCAAGTGCAGAATACGTTTTTGCCTGTGCGTTTAATGTATAACGGACGGTCTAAGCTAAAATTATCTAATTATCTATTTCAGTTAATGTTAATGATTGCATTGTTCCTTAATCTTCAAATTGGATCCCGCTTATTATTTTTTGCAGACTGTAAGAGCAATTTTATAAAAGTAAACTTGAACTTTCGATTATGTCAAATAGAATTTCCGATGCTGGAACTTCCAAAGGATCTACAAAACGAAAGTATGGTTCAATGTCCACTAAACAAAAAGTGGAATTGCTGCAAAAAATGGATAAAGACATGAAGAATGTGACAGAGAGGTTAGTGAAAACGAAAAAATTTCGATTGACAAGTTAGTCGGTATTCTCGGCACAGCAATTAACGGGACTTGAACAGGGGAACTTTGTAACTGAACAAGAAATTATGTCTGTTTATAGAATTAAAGAGAAAGTATTATCACATAAAACGTAGCAACTTAAACAACTTACATCGAAAGAAATGTTTAATAAAGTAAACAAATAAATATTAAGCTTTTTTTTTTTTTTTTTGTAAATTTTGATACCCTTTAGATCATAATTGTTCTTTATTTCATAAATTATGGTTTCATATTTTTAATTTTAGAATTTCTGCATGGCATCTTATGAGATTTAAACTGATGATCTATAATCCGGAATCGCCGAAGTCCCGACGAGTCTGGATTGACAACTTTTGACTGTATTAATAATTTCTTAACCCACAAAATATATATAAAAAAAAAGAACAGGCATGTCATACCTGTATTGGCTAAAATAATTATTAATTATGGATTAAAAGCAATGCTAAAAAGTTATAAAAAATCATAAATTTACGATTGTTAGAGAAAAAAACTCGATCAGTATGTTGGGGTTTTAACACTATAAGCGCCGTTGGGGTCATTTTGACCTTTTTTTCCAATTTTCTGCTTTTTTTTTTAAACATACAGCTGAGCTTCCAAGCTGATATTTTTTTACTTTTTCTAAAATGTTTCCAAGTATACTATGCCAATTTTTCATATTTCTACGTTAATTATTTAAATAAATAATCACAGATATACCTAAAACAGCCAACTGGAGTCATTTTGACCCTTATAAGAAGAACGACATATTTTTAAGCGAATGTCCGTTTTCGAATTCCCGATGCCACGTTTTCATTTTCTGCGCATTGGGAAACACGCAGCTCTTATTGCAATTACTCAGGGGAGAAAAATAAAATCCAGAACGGAGCATATTCTCTCTCCATTGCAATGCTGAGAGGAAGAGGATTGAGTACACAAGAGTTCCTTGCCCTCCTTGAATAATTGGAATCAGATATAAGTGGTGATGATAGCAGTGACGAAGATTTTAACGTTGATGTGAACTTACAGAATACGTTGCTCTCTGAAAGCAGTGATAGTGATGTTGAGCACAATTCTGGAACTGTGATCCCTATGCGGGAAGCCGGAAGCTCACGTGGACGTGGTCGTGGTCAAGGACGAGGCAACAACGTTGCTGGCAGCAGTAATGAGAAGTATACCTCATCCAGTGGTATTCTCTGGACCCCTATGAACCTTAGCAGCACCGCTTCCACTTCAGGTCGCATGCGAGCTCGAAATATTGTAACCACTGCAAATGGACGAACGTCATTTGCTCATCGTAATATAAGAACAAATCCTGCTTCAGCGTGGCGTTTGATGGTGAGTGAATCAATGGTGAAACGCATTCAATCATGTACAGTTGCTGAGGCACGATGCCAACTTAGAGATGATAGTAACTGGCATGTTCGTCTGGAAGAACTTGATGCCTTTTTTGCCCTTCTGTATGCCTGTGGAGCACTATGCCATTCAAAACTTTGTGCAGATGATTTGTGGAACAAGAATTGGGGACCACCTGTGTTCTAAGAAACAATGTCACGCAATCGGTTCCGGGAAATAATGCGGTATCTCAGATTCGATGTCCAAAGCACCATAGCTGATTGTCTCGCCCCTAACAAATTTGTTCTCGCTTCTGAAACCTGGTACAAGCTAATGGAAAACTATTATTTATGCTATAATCCTGGACCAAAAATAACCGTTGATGAACAATTGTTGCCCTGTAAATCAAGATGTAGATTTATCCAGTACATGGCGAATAAACCGGACAAGTTTGGCATCAAATTCTGGCTAGCAACTGATGTAAAATCCAAATATGTTTTGAATGGTTATCCTTATCTGGGCAAGGATGAAGAACGACCAACTAATTTACAACATGGGGAAAGTGTAGTTCTCAAATTACTGCAACCACATCTGAACTCCGGACTCAATGTCACAAAAATTGTCACAACTGACAATTTTTTTACTTCTGTGAAACTTGCAGATGAACTTTCTGTGAAAAAAACCACAATTGTCGGGACGATGCATCTGAATAAGCGAGAATTACCCCCTATTGCTCGTGACACTTCTTCGGCACGATATTCATCTTTTGCACTGAAAAATGGAAACAAAACACTCACAATATATAGGTGCAAGAGCAAAAAAGAATGTCGTGATTCTGAGCACGATGCACAGTAACGTGTTTGTTGACGACAGCATAAAGAAAAAACCGAAGACTGTCACTTATTACAACAGTACAAAATGTGGCATTGATGTTGCAGATCAGATGCTGAGGAAATAATAGTACAAGTAGTGGAAGTCGCAGGTGGCCTGTACATGTTTTTTACAACGTCCTTGACATTGCTGCACTCAATGCTTGGATTATATTCACCTCTATTTCCCATCGAGAATTTATTCTTGCACTCGTGGAAGAACTACGAGTTGGTGCACTACGCAACAGATGCCCCCCGATTGCTCAAATACAGACACTTAAACGAAAGAAATGTGCATTTCAAAGTTGCAAGGGACAAAACAAGACTGTTGTCAGCTGTGAGGGATGCCAGAAACCAATTTGTGGTAAATGTGTTGCTGTCACTGTCAAGCGTTCATATTGTATCACCTGCGGTAATGTATAACAAACTTTGGAAAACATTGTGTGTTTATTCCCAATTTATGTTTTTTTTTTTTTTTTTTTTTTTTTTTTTTTTTTGTAATTTTTTGCATATGTTCTATTTTCCACTTTTTGCATTTGTATCTTTTGTTTGTTTTTCATAGATTTTGTTTTTGTAATCTTACATTGAAAGATATTGTGTGCTAATTTGCACTAATTGCACGAAAAAAAATTCTAAAGTATAAAAAATAAATAAAAACCTCTAAAAACTCTTTTATGTGGTCATTTCAGCATCATTTCAATCATTTACTGTGTTTCTACTTACATTTCTTATGAGGGTCAAATTGACCCCCAATCGCAGTTTTCGGTTAGTCTGAAATTCGGCTCTTCTAGTGTTAATTTTTGAATTTAACAGTTAAAAATACATTGCTTCTTTTCCCACCACCTACATTTCTCTTGCGTACCACCAGTTGAGAACCCTTTATGTAGACCAAAGAGTAGTCTTTATGTTCACAATATTTATATTCAGAAGTTTGAGTTTTGGTAATTTTTTTCCTTTAATTCTAGAATTGTATCAATAAAATTTAAAGATATATTGGCTAGCAATCCTAATTTATGAGTTTAATATGCCTAGAGGACTGTTTTCATGAAGTAATATGTACAAGAAGTAATTTTAATATATCAAGTTATACATATGTTACATGATATAATAATTACATAATTAAAACAAAAAGTACATATTTTGATATAAATTCCATTATCAGAACCGTAACAAATTGCCAAACTGTTGTTCATGCCAATGAATGAAAAAAATAATTGTGGTAATCCTAATGCAAGGAAAGAAGTATAATAGTAGTTAACTCTGTAAGGATATTTTTTAATTTAGATGAAAGGTTAGTTTGAATTTTTTATTACACTCCATTGAGTAGTTGTGGTGTTTATTATACCATTTAGAACTGTCCTCACAAGTTCTCTAATCTTTGTTTACGACAACCACTTTTGAGGTCCACAAAATTATATTTATGGTTGACGGTGAATTATTCAAAGCTGGCATCTTGCAATTAATTCATCCAACTTATATGCTTTCCATCAATCAGTATAGATAATGCTTCTTTCTGCAATGTTTTCCTTTATGATATTAAATAAAGTTTTTGCCGATTTATTTCTAACAAGGTCTAAAAACATTCCTTTGATTATCTGCATAGTTTTCTGATAGCCCATTGTGACTAAGTGACATTTCCAACATTTTCTCTCTTGATTGAAAGAATTTCATTTAAATTTTATCACATCCACCAATTTTTAGCAAAGGCCAAGCAGTTATAACTGGGGCACACACCTCATACATATAATTGTTTTAGTCTACAGTTGTACTGTGGTCTTTTTCAATTGGAATTAGCAAAATTCTATAGATGTTATCTCATTATACCAAAAACAGATCAACCTCACGACTGTAAAGAAGGGATTTTTGATCCGTGAAACTAGGTTCATGTTCTTAATCCTTTCTTCTCATTACAGAATTATTTCCTGCAGTGTTATTTCACTATTGAGTACATATAAAAACACAATTTTATCTCATGGTCCTTCAAGCATAATTTTTTCGTTAGGAATAAAAATCTTTATGTAATTATAGAATTTGGGATAAGTTGACTTAATCCTTTAAGCCTATTTAATTTAAGCTTTGGGTACTCCCTAATTCTCTCTCAGGCTGAAGTTATAATAAAGTTTATTTTCAAAGCTGTCTGATTACACAAAAATTTTTATGCCAGTTTATAGTACCATTTTTGATTTGCAGGTGACCTTTTGTTCCATTTCAGTTATGGTATTATTGCAGAATTAAATAGGACCATGAGTGGCCAAGTGGCTAAAGATTTAGTATTAACATTTAGTGGAGCTTTAACAGTTCATGTACAGGAGCATAACTTGCATTTATAGGAGTATTAACAGTTCACTCTGAATTATACTTTAGATAAAGAAACTAACTTCATGAAATGTTTACAGTTTAATCATGTAAATTTAATGGATGGCTTTTCTCACATATTTTTTTAATAATTTAATGTACTCATTTCTGATGGACAAAATGTAGTTTATGTAAACTCCAAGAAACTATGCTAAATATGAAACATGCATACAGAAATGTCAGGAAACATTTATAAAACTTTTTGCAATATGTAATAGATATGATAATTAGCATTTGCCTTCATGAGAATATCACTAGAGTATTTCATTTTTTTAATATTCTTTTTTTATGAAATAAGATACATTTTCCAAATTATTATTTGATTATTAAAGATATTTTCAGCTGTTATTTTTTTCCATGAGTATAAATCTGTATATGTAATTTTCATGCATTATATTGATGCTTTGATATATTTAGATTTTCTCTGTACTTACCATTTTTATTGGAACCCTAACTCTTGCAAATGCTGCATCCCTAAATATTGAATAGTTTGTGGTATCTACAAATTAAAGCTTTTTATAAATATTAAATTTCATGGCATAATTTAATAAGTATTTATTTGCATTAAAATTGTATGTATTTATTCTAATTTTTGTTACTAATTATTAATGGATATCAGCTTTTGCCACTAATCATAACATTCTAAGAAATGTTTATATCTTTACTGCAGTCATGTAAAGTTCTAGATGTCTTCTTTTTTAAGTTCTGTTTAGATAGATTTTCTGTACATCTTAGCTTCTTAACAATCTCCCCCCTCCCGCACACACATTTTTGTGTATTTCCAAAGTACAGTTATTTTTAGATCTCTTCTTTACAGCATGTTAAATCTGTTGAATAGGCATGATAATTCACGAATGGAAAGTACAGTAAATGTGCAAGTAAATTTTTCTCTTCGCTAATGCAGTACCATTTTTGGTAAAGTATGATTTTAATTTTTTATTATTGTAATGCAAAATGGAATCCATAAGATATTGCCATTTATAAAATAATAAAGATTTGTTTAAGAATTTGAAATAAAATTTCTGGTGTTAAGAGTGAAATTCTTATAACTTTTACAAAGGATAAACAGGATATAAACATAACCCATGCTGTTTTAGATGTATACTGAATCTGAAATAATATTTCCAATGGTAAGAGTAAAATTCTTGTAACTTTAATTAAGGATAAACAAGATATAAATATTTTCCTATGTTGTTTTAGTTGTAATAAATCAATGTTCTATCCAATTCATCAAGAATGGGTTTCTTTCATGATAATGCAAGAAATTGTAAAAAAAAAAATGAGTGATCTGCCAGTTGTGCTGTTAAAATGTATAAATTTACAAGTAACAGTTTCACTTATTTGAAAGTAAATGTTTTATTATATTCTCATTAAAATCCAAATTAAACAAATTTTACAAAAACATCCACTGATAGAATAATTCACAATTTACATATCTGATATTGCGTTGATTTTTATTTATTCAGTTTTAGTTTTATTTATTTTTTGTTAAATCATAAACTGAAATTAGTTTTAAAATCCATCCAAACTCACAAATATGAAAGGAAATCTGCTAACAAATTAGGTATATACAAATAACACTTATGTATATATTATTGCATGTATACAGATGACACAAAACATACATGAAAATATTTAAAGTGATAAGCAATATATTTGTATTATGTATAAATAAAATGTAAAAATGCATTACTAATTTATGATCTAAAGGGTATCAAAATTTACGAAAAAAAGCTTTATATTTATTTGTTTACTTTATTAAACATTTCTTTCAGTCATTTCTTAAGCTGTTTAAGTTGCTTCATTTTTTATGATAATACTTTCTCTTTAATTATATAAACAAACATAATATCTTTTTCAGTTATAAAGTTCCACTGTACAAGTCCTGTGATTGCTGTGTCGAGAATTCCAACTAACTTGTGAACCATAATTTTTCGTTTTCCATAACCTCTCCATCACTTTCTTCACTATCGGTAGTGGTATTTTCCAGATGTAGAACCATACTGCAGATTTTGCCGTCCATTAACTGTTGATTATTGGGGTGTTGTCATCGCAATGAAAAACTTCTGTTATATCATCTTCATTTATTACCGCTTCTCTACATTTCTTTACTAAATCCATTAACTGGAAAATTTCACCTTTAGTTTGTGATATCCGAAAACCTTCAAAATTCGCGGCTGTCATTGTTCAAGAAATTTTACATGGATTTAAAAAATGCTACTTTATATTTGCATTTCAGTGCACGCACTATTCCGATATCAGTAGGCTGAATGGTGGATGTACAATTTGGAGGAAAGAATAATAGGAATACATTATCTTCCACTATGAGCCAAACAGTATTATTTATTATTTGATAGTAATAAGTGTATTTTGATTCGATTGTGTTTCATGAATGCTAAATTAATGAATCCTGAGTAAATGTCGTATTCTGAGTTGCATTCTTTATGAACTTAATTGATTTTAAAAATTTATTTTAGTTCTTTCTACATGAAATATAAAAAAGACAGTTACTTAAACATTTGAGAAGTATAATTTAATATAACAGATGAAATATCTAGTTATTTACCTTTACCCTATATGAATAAAAAGTGGAGTTGTTACAAAACGATAGAATCTGCGCATTTACGAGTAAGAATGATTCAAAAGTAGCCTGCAGTTATATTTGTATGTAGAATAGATATACGATATATTTGTTTATATGTTTGTTACCATGTTATTTTTATAATTAATATTTTTAGGAAGCAGGTCACAGATAATTGAAAAACATGGATAGCCGAGACTATCAGATTTCACGCATATTGTGTGTGTTTATTTCTTTAAAAAAAAAAAAAAAAAAAAAAACAGTAATTTTACTTTATTTTTTAGAACATTTAAATGTTTATCGAACGTCTCTGCTTATTTTTCAAAGTGCTATTTTATTATTGTATTCAGGTCACCTTCGGTCGATGAAGTCCAGTCAACTAAAGTCACTGCTGTGTCAGGACTAATGTAATTATCAGTATCTTCTTCACTTGTATTTTCATTATCACTGTGTAAATCTTCTGCTTTTTGTGAAATTTAAAAAATATCCACATCACTCAAGCATTCAAAACCTGGCTCAGTCATATTCCCATCGAACCATTTCTCAATGTTTTCCCAATCGACATTTTCGAAGAATTTTTATATTTCAAATTTTACATATTTGGCATACAAGTTTTTATTTATTCAGTTTTAGTTTTATTTATTTTTATTAAATCATAAACTGAAATTAGTTTTAAAATCCATCCAAACTCACAAATATGAAAGGAAATCTGCTAACAAATTAGTTATATACAGATAACACTTATGTATATATTATTGCATGTATAGAGATGACACAAAACATACATGAAAATATTTAAAGTGATAAACAATATATTTGTATTATGTATAAATAAAATGTAAAAATGCATTACTATTGATATGAAATAGGTAAAATATAATTTTCTTTAAGCCAGTTTTCTCCGCTAATATTCATCCATATGAACGCATATCCCACAGCAAATAAAAAAAACAGAGGAATATTTTTTACAAAATAATTTAAAGCATATAAATGAGGTTATTTAAGTTAATAATAGAAATGAAAAAAAATTCATAATAATACTGCTTCATATGAATAAAAAAAAAAAAAATAATAATAAATAAAAATTAGTTTTTCATTTTACTGGAAGAAACTGTCCAGTCCCTAGTGATATTTTTTAATTGTGATATTCAAAACTAATACATATTACTTTACTATTGGTTTTGTATTTTTGCACAGGATTGTGTAAGATAAATTAATCACATCTATATGCAAGGGCTTGATTTCTAAAATTAGAAGTGGCGAAGCTCTATGAATGCCATCAAAAAGATGAATAAAGTAATAAATCATTAAAATCAAATGTTATAAAATATAAACACATAAATGAAAGTTTAATGAATCAATAAATTTCTGGTAAATTCTTTAAATAATAAAATAAAATAGTGGATCTTGCCTTATTCGGTGCTTTGGCTGGAATTACAGTTCTGCTGAAAAATAAGAAGTACCCTGGTTGGTCTTTTTCTGAATTTAAATCCTGATTGTATGGTATAATATTCTATTTCAACAGATGATAGAAACAAAGATCATTCTTTTTCAAGCTGGCTCATAAAGAAAATAAAATGCTTATAGCTTCACTAATAAAAATAAACACAATACTAGAAACAATAGAGTACATAAGGAAATTTCTATGGAGATGTGTAGGCATGCAAACAAAGAAAGAAGGATCTAAAACTTTCTAACGAGGATCACATCAATGTAATTCTAGCTGTTGAGCGGAAATGATAGGGAAATTTTTTTTTTTTTCCTCCAAATCTGAAGGGATTTTATCTGTAAGCTGAGAATGAATTTAAAGCTCCTTGCTAAAGCATAAGCTAAAGACGATGTGATGCTAAATTTGATGATTTAAAGCTAAAGATGATATGGTGATTTTCTTGCCACATATTTTTTACATCATTTAAAAAATTTCTCCTTGAACTCTTTCCCATGGGAAATCACTAGCGTTGGACAGGAATGACCAGGTGGATCCTTTCTAGTGCGTTAGAGGAGGGGGAAATGTACAATCTCTTAAATTCATTGCACTTTATGAAAGCTTCCAGGAATTTTTTTAAAGTCAACTTTTAACATGAGGGCTGGGACCTTTTTATTCCTCAAAAGCCTCAACTTCTGTTAAAGGATTTGTTTCCCAAGAAAAGACAGGCATAAATCCAAAACTTTCAATTAAATTTTACTTATTATTCAAGTAACATTTTCAAAAGCAAAAGAATTTTGTACTGAAATTGTGGTTTAATGACGCTAAAGAAGTGCTGAAGGCCTCGTATTTAGGGCTCCCAGTGCATTCCTGCTAAAATTACAATTAATCTCAAAAGTTGAAAAACAGTGCAGCCAGGCTTTAGGAGAATTTAAACTCTGCACCTATGAAGAGCAAAATTTGTACCTGAAATTCACTGCTCCAGTTCATTGTTAACATGTTATACTGTAAACGTATTACATGCAGGCACCAAAATTAAGTGCTTAGGGCCTCTGTAAGTCTTAATCCAGCCCAGAATGAGAAACTAATTGTCTTACAGTCAATTAAGTAGATTGATCTGCATTTCTTTATTAAAATCTTCTGCAGTTGATACATGTATAGCTGCTCCTGTTGTGAATATTATAGGAATTTGTTAACCTGGAATCTAGAGAAGCCAAAATATGCTGTATCTACAACAAAGAGGAAAAAATCAATATGCAAGATTGTAACCAGTCAAGTTCAGGGTTGTTATCACGCACTTTAAGCATGAAACTTGACTTTTGTCTTATTCTCTATCAATATATATATTAAACAGAGCTTTGAATAACACAAATGTTTACGCTTTAAAACTGTATTAATTTCCTTTGAATTCCATGTTTTCGGTAAAAGATCTGTATTTTCATTTGTAATGTATAATGAAAATTTTGGTACTATTTCCACACCACCCAAATGGAGTAAGTACCATGGTGCACTTTTTTTAACATTGTTTGCCAAGAGCCCACATCCATGCCCTTACACAGGGATGTCTCCATATTATTAGATAACATGTTTACCTTTTTTAACGTAATCTTAGTTTATTGCATAATATGTCTGGTATACACTAGATCTTATATGCTTGTATTGATCTTGGCATTCAATTGCAATATCTGGTATTTTGCTGTGATCTGTATAAATATCCTCTACTTTAACGAGTTCAGAATGATGAATGACTCTTTTTATGCATTCTTGGCTAACAAACCAAGAAAGCATATTTTTTTTGTTTTTGCTTGAGAGCATAAATACTGAATTTTTGTCTTTTCTTTTTATCTTCCGAGATGTCATTATCGTTGCATCAAAACCTGCATTTAGAACAAAATTTTAATTAAAATTAAATTATTTTAAGAGATAATAATAGCTGAATAATTAATGACTAAATTTTGATTTATTAGAATGCTATATCAATAGAATTAAGCTAATATTTGATGGGCTAAATTTTTTTAAATTATAAACATACATTATTTATTGTTTTAATGCTATCATTGGTACTTTCTGATTATTCGCACTCTTCTGATAGATTGGACAAGGCTCTATATTTCTAACATTTTCTTTCTCATCAGTAAGTTAACTCCACAATGTGATTATGATTTATTTTGATGGGGAAAAAAACAATTATCAACAAAATGACATTCATATGTATAGTGTGTAAATCGTGTGTAATGAATCACTTCTATCATGCATGCATGCTTTGTGTTTGTCATGTGTGCACGATAACCCTATACTCTATAAATAATAAAATACATGATAACCCTAATGACTCTTGAAACGAAGGTTGCAGACATTCAGAAAATACCATATTTTTCTTTACAAATCAGTAAAAGATGTTTGTAATGAGCACCAATATTTACTTTTAGAACCAGTGTACACCATATTACTACTGTTTTGTTTTATAACTTTTATAAGCTATTTTATTTTTAAGAATTTCTATGATATTAAAAAAATTGCTTTAAATGTGATTATACCAAAGCATTTTATTTCAGAAACTTTATTAAAACTTAAGCCTGATATTTTCATATTTTATAGTAAACATAATTGTATGAGAACCGTCTTCCTCTACTTACTTTTTTAAATACAATATTATGCATTAAATTAGGGTATTTTAATTGCAAATTTCTGTTCAATATAATCATTGTTAATAATTTGTTGTGGATGCAATATGCAATTTATCACATTTGCGATTGTAGTCTACAGTAATTTATCTATGAACCACAAAAAAGATCATTTTCAACCCTTTTGATGTTATTAATACTCAAACAAGTAAATCATGCTGGGGATTCTAAAGTTGCATATTTTATACAACATGTGAAAATGTTTATCTTACAAAAGCATGGTAGAGATCCATTAATAAAATGCAATTATTTTTTTACCATGCTATAAGAAATTTTTCATGTATATCACTGAAAAACTCATAAAAATACATCTTTTGAGAGCCAGTTCTGCTTTTATTCTGTAAAACTAAAAAGTATTTAAATTAAATAGAATTGCAAATTTCATAGTTTCATAAAATGATTATTGGAATCATTTTCATTTATGAATTCTTGAATTTATTTTCATACTTAAAAATAGCATTTGATTTGCTCCACCTATGGAATAAATAACTAGCTAAAAATGATAGATTGCATACTGCATAATTACCAATCAATATGTGTAATTACTTATGGCAGCCATCTGTGTTCACCATCATGAAATATGACTGTATTAGTATTAATATTTTTACTGTTAAATTACCTTTTGTCCGGCCTCTTCCTTTCAAAGGTTTTGGCATTTGTACAGAACTACAGCTAGATAATTCTTGTATCAAATTTTCACTGGTATCACTACTGGAAAAGAATATGCGAAATAAAAACAAAGCCAAATCAGATTTTAGTAAATTGTAAGCCAAAATACTTAATGTAAGGAAATTGAAAGCTGAACACTTACTACTCAATATTTTCATGCCTTTCATTACTGGAGATGAAGTCCGCATTTTCAACAACCGAACTAGACAGAAGAAGTATCAATGTATAAATGCAAAAATGAGAGAGTCATACTTATTACATGAATATTAGCAAGGGATTGTAATCCTAAAAGTACAGCTCAATTTATTTCATTAATTTTATAACATTTTTGTTACAAAATAAGCACAATTACTCACCTGGCAGAGAATCCATCATACCTCATGGAAGCCGTATCCCCATCAAAAACTGTGTGGGAAAAAGTAAGTTATTTTAATTAGTTGCATTGGAACTGATATGTGTTTTAAATTCTGCAAAATATGTAAGTTTTGTGAATGACTAATTCTTCATAGAAAATGTCCCAAATAGTTACAGGATTATAAAAATGTAAGCAAATTGTAAGCTCAAATACTTACTGCTGAAAATTTTCATTTCTTTCTTCACTTTGTATGTGGCCTGCATTTTCAGCATCCAAACTAGACAGAAGGAGTATCAATGTATAAATGCAAAAATGAGAGAATCATACTTATTACATGAATAATTAGCAACAGATTTTAATCCCAAAAGTACAGCTCAAGTATTTAATTAATTTTATAACAATTTTTTTTACAAAATTTAAGCACAATTACTCACCTGGCAGAGAATCCATCATACCTCATGGAAACTATATCGCATCAAAAACTCTGTGGGAAAAAGTAAGTTATCTTAATTAGTTGCATTGGAACTAATTTACATTTTAAATTCTGCAAAACATGTAGGTTTTGAGAATGACTAATTCTTCATAGAAAATGTCCCAAATAGTTACAGGATTATAAAAATGTAAGCAAATTATAAGCTTAAATACTTACTGCTGAAAATTTTCATTTCTTTCTACACTTTGTGGTGTGGCCTGCATTTTCAGCATTTAAACTAGACAGAAGGAAAGAAGAAAATTAAGATATGTAAGCTAAAGAGAGAAAAAAGCATGCAAAATAAAATTTTTAATCAATATTTGATGTTCATTAATTGAAGTGTATAATTTTTATGCAGATAACTTTCTTTAAATTTTTATACATATAGAAATCTTTTAAATCTGTTCCTTAGATTGAGCCTCATATGAACAATTTATTAGAACAGAAGAAATATTAATAAAATTTTTATGAAATTTTTTTGGGAGACTTTTATAAAATAAAAAAAAAATTGTACCTTTCAAGGATATTATTTTCATCATTGAGAACAAGGATTCCAATTTCCTTTCTGTCTTTTAGAAGTCTAAATAAAATTTTTTAATTATAAACATAGTATTAAAAACATATATCACATAAATATTTACAAAAAAGTTTCAAGACTTACTGAAGACTGAAGAATATTTTCAAAGAACTCTACATGTCTCTGAAATTGAAAGGATGAACTTTCACTTTTGCCTCTGCTATTTTTTTTACAAATATTCATCATCTTACTTTTTTTTTTTGTGTGTGTTGGTGTGTGTGTTGTGCACTTGAGGTGTTATTTTTGGAACATCTAGATGTTATGTTGACATCTGGAGTTCTAGTTTCTGATGTTAGAAAAATTCTTTGTGAAGAATAGTAGTATGTTTTTGCCCATCTGTAAAATGTAAATAATTTCATTGAACTAGAAGCATTATATTTATTGTTAGAGATGAATCTCATAGAAGAAATTAAGCATATTTTCTTAAATTTTTTTAAATAATATTTGTGCATGTATAAGTTATAAATTCTTTGTGTATTGTGTAAGAATAAGTGGAAAATATCACCTTTTATCACAGAGGTCTTCGTGGAAGAGATCTAAATTTTCTAAAGTCCTTAATGCAAAAATATGTTTACAAGATAACTTCATTGAATTATAAAATGTACAATTACAATTCATTGAAGTGGTAATATATGTATTGGTTCCTCCTTGAATATTCTCTGCCAGTTTCATTTGCTTTTGTACAAACCCAAAGGAGTACACTTGTAATAGATCTCGATACCTGGCTTCTGCTGGATTATCAGTGAAGGATTTAACACATACCTGTGAAAGATGAAAAATGTATTAGTCTTGTCTGTAGATGAAAAAACAAATTATCCAAAAAGTAGGAAAGTGCTAAAGACCATAATACTGTGGTGACTGCGATAAGGAGCGCGCCTTGCGCCCTCCGATAAGTGTGGCAACCCTAGAGGAGAAGTTTCTTACGAGTAGCGAGCAGAGCGAAACAGGCAGGCTGTCGGGCAGTGTGCGCGAAGTTCCTAAATAAAGCTTAATTTTTATTGTGCACTATGTCTTGTTAATATTTATATTAATGCAGTAAGAACATAATCTGTGATATGGAATTCGAGGATTGGTGGTAAAAACATAACAGGAAATCACCATAATGGTAACCCGGACTGTGTTAAATCATATGAACAGTTCTCAAGCACTTTCGGTTTTGACTACATGCCATCACTCAAGATATCCAAACCAGAAGTAATGGATTACATCGGTTTTCATGCTCCGGATCACAGATGAGTAGTAATTATAGATCATTTTATAATTCTGTTTTCTACTTATCATTTAATTTCATTTTCTTTAGTTAAATTTTTGCTTTTATTTTGGCTTAAAAACCTTGCACAATGTCTGATGTTCATGTCGTCCAAATTCCGGTTTATAACCGATCAGACCCATCTTTATGGTTTATTATGTGTGAAAGTACCTTTGCTCTTGCCACCACCAAACCTATCACAGAATCCATTACTAAATATAATTATGTAGTTGCTCATCTTCCTCCAGATATTGCCATCAATAGTACAGGATTTACTTATGAAACCAGATCCTATTGATCCATATCAAAAGCTCAAAACTGAGTTAATATAAATCGTTCAGGAGAATCTTCTCAGCAAGAAATTCGCCAATTATTATCTGGAGAAGAATTAGGTTCTCGAAAACCTTCCGATTTGCTTAGAAATATGAAACGTCGAGCAGAATCTTTAAATGTTCCTGATAACTTAATGTTAGAATTATTCCTTCAACGTTTGCCTTCGACTGTTCAGTCTATTTTGGCAGCAGTTTCCAATTTAACTGTAGATAAAGCTGCAGAAATTGCCGACAGAATTTTAGAAGTAAATCCAACCCCAGGGACTTGTGCCGTTTCTCGCACAGTTGATCAGTCTTTTGAGGATAAATTATTTAAACAAATAGAAAAATTAAACAAATGTATTGACCGCATTTCTCTTTCTCGTGGTCGTTCGCCAAATTGCGGAGATCGCAATAACGAAAGAAGCAATTCCAAAAGGAGAGATTATTCTGTTTGCTGGTATCATAGAAGTTTTGGGGAAAAGTGTAGAGATGACAAATGTACAAAACCTTGTTCATGGCAGGGAAACGAAACCAGCAAAGAATAGAGGCGACTTATTCTTTGCCTCAAGTTTCACGTCGCCTGTTTGTTCGTGACCGTAGAACAAACCTTTCATTCTTGGTCGAATACCGGCTCTGACGTGTCCTTACTTCCAGCAAATAATTCTCAAAAACGGAATTCTCGTCCAACAAACACTTTTCTGCTGCTAATTCTTCTACTATATTCATGTTTATGGTCAAAAAAGCACTTTCTTTGGAATTTCAAATTAAGACGACAGTTTACATGGACTTTTCTTATAGCAAATGTTAGTACAACCCATTCTTGGAGCAGATTTTCTCCATTTCTTTGAATTGGTGCCTGATCTCAGAAACAATGTCTCAAAGATTTAAAAACGCATTTTAAAACCGTCGGTTGCGTGAAAAATGCAAGCATTTATTCAGTAAAAACTGTATTTAGTGATACACCATATCACAAAATTTTTTAAAGAATTTCCTTCAGTTACTAGATTACCAGATCCTAACCAACCTGTTAAACATAACACCGTTCATTATATCATAACTAAAGGTCCACCTGTGGTTGCAAAACCTCGTCGGTTAGCTCCAGATCGCTTAAAAATAGCAAAACAAGAATTTCAAACTATGATGCAATTGGGGGGGCATTTGAGACCTTCGAGCAGCAATTATGCATCCCACCTTCACATGGTTCCAAAAAAGGAAGTCTGGAATGGAGACCTGTAGGTGATTATCGAGCATTGAACGCTCAAACAATAAAAGACAAATACCCTATTCCATGCTTAGCCGATTTTACTGCTGCATTGCACGGTACTAAATTTTTTTTTTAGTCATGTCGACCTGATTAAGGCATACCATCAAATACCAATTAACCCAGCCGACATCCACAAAACCGCCATATGCACACCATTCGGTTTATTCGAAAGTACCCGTATGCAATTCGGCTTATGCAATGCATCCGCGACTTTTCAAACGTTTTATAGATGAAGTCACGCGGGATTTAGAAGGTGTTTACGCTTTGTCGATGACTTGGTCATAGCCTCTAAAGATTCTGAGGAACATTGCAGGCATTTGAAAGCTTTATTTTCCAAACTTCAGGAATATGGACTTTGCATAAATGTTTCAAAATGCACCTTTGGTCAAACGTCTATTGATTTCTTAGGTTTTCACCTTAGTGAAAACGGAATTGAACCTCTTCCTGACAAAGTCAAATGTATTTTAGATTTTCCTCAACCTACCACTCTCACTCAGCTTCACCGATTTTTAGGCATGTTTAACTTTTACAGATGTTTCATACCTAAAGCAGCACATATTCTTTCTCCTTTAATAAAATTGTTAGAAGGCTATATTAATAAAAAGAAATCTCGTTCTCGTGTTCAGGATCCATCCCCACAATTAAATTGGAACGAGAATGCTGAACAAGCCTTTATTGCTGCCAAAAATGCCATTGCTCAGGCTACCCTTTTGAGACACCCTATTCCCGGAGCCCAGCTAAGCATCTGGGTAGATGCCTCAGACGTCGCAATAGGTGGCACACTTATGCAGTTGTCTCAACAAACATGGGAACCTATAGCATTTTTCTCTATGAAACTCAATAAAAGTCAACAGAAATGGTCCAATCGTACGAATAGGGAATTATTTTCAATTTATTCTGCAAATTAAGAAATTCCGACACATGTTAGAGGGCAGAAATTTTATAATTTATACGGATCAAAAACCCGTTAATATATGCTTTTAAACAGAACCCTCATAAATGTTCACCTCGACAATTGCACCATTTAGATTTTATTTCTCAGTACTCTACTGATATTAGGCATATGCAAGGTTCAAAAAAATGTCGTTGCTGATGCGCTCTTTCAAGAATCGAAATTGATTCCATAACAAAATCTCCATTTTTGGATTTTAAAAAATTTTCGGAAGCTCAATGGCATGATCCGGAGGTACAAGACCTTCTCAAAAACAACACATCATCTTTGAAACTGGAATTTAAACCGTGCCAATATTCTGATGGTAATATTCTTTGTGACATATCAACAGACATTCCTCGTCCATTTGTTCCGAATTCCTTTCGCAGACTCATCTTTAATCATCCGCATAATCTGTCACATCCAGGAATTGCAGCTACTACGAAGCTTATTTGTTCTCGTTATGTATGGCCCGATATGAAACGTCATATCAAAAATTGGGTGAAATTCTGTGAATCTTGCCAAAAATCAAAAATTACTAGGCATACTAAAGCACCACTGGGCACATTCTCTCTTCCTGATGCACGTTTTTCTGAAATCCATATGGATATCGTCGGACCGTTACCTCCATCAGAAGGCAACGTGTACCTTTTGACTCTAATAGATAGATTCTCCAGATGGCCTGAAGCCATTCCCATCCCGGATATGAAAACGGAAACCATTTGCAGAGCCATCTTCAACTGTTGGATATCTCGTTTTGGCTGCCCATCGATCATAACAACAGACCAAGGTTCTCAAATGAGATCCGCACTTTTTGCAGAATTTACGCGCATTTTGGGTATGAACAGAATCACAACAACAGCCTATCATCCAATGTCCAACGGCATTGTTGAACGATTTCATCGACATTTAAAATCTTCTCTCAAGACTCACAAGACCAATAACTGGACTGAAACACTACCAGTTGTTATGCTTGGTATTCGTACAGCCGTAAAAGAAGATCTACAGTCATCTTGTGCTGAACTGGTGTACGGCACAACTCTCAAGCTGCCTAGTGATATGATAACGTCATCTAAGATATCTCCGTATGACACTCAATTTATCACGAATCTTCGGCATAGAATGCAACAATCCAATCCAATAGCAACATCTGCACATTGCAAAGAAAAGTGTTACGTAAGTGCTACCTTAAAGTCGTGTACGCATGTATACTTACGTGTCGATCGAGTAAAGCCACCTCTGTGCCAACCATATACAGGTCCGCATAAAGTCCTTTCTAGAACGGACAAAACTTTCACAATTGATATTAACGGTCTGAAATCTACTGTCTATAGACCGTGTGAAACCAGCCTATTTGCTTTCGGACTCTAATTTGCCTGAACTGAAAAACAAATAAAGACTTAAAGACAGTTCAGCAGAATAAATCTGCAAACGAACTCTCTAAGACACAAACTGTCACCAGATCAGGAAGACATGTTCACTTCCCTAAGAAACTTGCTTCTTACATAACAATTTAAAACCTTTTTTTTAAAATTCATATCGTAACATAATTTCTTTGTTATTTCATGTTTATTATATGTGTCATTACCTTGTTATATATTGAATTGCATTTTGATCTTTTCTAATTTTATATTCTAATTTTGTAATCATGAAAAAAAAAAAATACCCGACAGTACGGATCCTCTGAGATATTTCATAACCTGATGTCGTTCCTTTGAATAGCCATTAAAGGAACTGGGGGGAAACTCTGTGGTGATGGCGATAAGGAGCGCGCCTTGCGCCCTCCGATAAGTGTGGCAACCCTAGAGGAGAAGTTTCTAACGAGTAGCGAGCAGAGCGAAAGAAGGCAGGCTGTCGGGGAGTGTGCGCGAAGTTCCTAAAATAAAGCTTAAAATTTTTATTGTGCACTATGTCTTGTTAATATTTATATTAATGCAGTAAGAACATAATCTGTGATATGGAATTCGAGGATTGGTGGTAAAAACATAACAGGAAATCACCATAATACCTTCTGGAATGAAACTGCAGCTGTGTGATCCCTTTCCAGTCTTAGTGTCGAGACTATTTTAAAAAAGTCATCAATGAAAGCTGAAAGTGTAGAAAATTTGGAAATCGCAGATTTTAATTTGGAATTAAGTGACTCTAATCTATTGTTTGTTGCATTAAAAAAATTTCCTCATATCCAATTTATGCGTGTCCATTCCTGCAAAAATATATTCAAAATAAGCATATATGTATTTTTCTTATGGATCAAAAAATCAAAAACTTAAATTTTGAGTAAGTTATTCCATTACATTAAAATTATTTGCTAAATTTTAATTCATGAAAGCCATAATAGTTTAGTTAAATAAAATATGTTAATATTGTATTTATTGGTATGTACTGTCAAATGTGAATACGAATACATCTTCATATAAAGATTAAGATTTGCATTTTTCATTCATTTTTGACAGTATAAATTTTGGAAGTTAGGAGAAATGCAAATTTAATGAATAGATTAAAATGAAAAATTTGACCGCTACCTACTTTAATATGTATGATTTCGGAGGAATTTTTCTATGGAAAACTTGCCAGTATTTAGATTACACATGGGAAAAAGATAAACAGAAAATGCTTTTATGATGATCAAAGAAGGAATGTGTAATTAGGCACAAAATATTATGCACAATATTTTACAACAAAATAAAAATATTTAAAATAATTGTAATAATTTTGTATTGTACCTTACGAATTGGGTGCCAGTTTCTATTGTAGTGATCAACTACTTTTGCTGATGATGAGGATCAAAATCCATATAGCTTGTATGATATTGCTTTTCTGTGTAAGCGTAACATAATTTTACGAAATGATGTATAGCGACGCTTTTTTCCTCTGATGATAATTGCATCTGATCATGAGCCATCTGTGCATAAAAGTAAGAAATTTCAAATTCTGTCATTCTAGCAATTCAATATTGAATAATAAATATTTCTGTTTTGGATGAGACCTAACTCAACATTATATGCTTTTTAAATCTGACTAAAATGTGGACACATAATACTTAGTGCATTTATATTATTTTAGATGGCAAGCCAAAAAATTACCTCTCTCTTGAAAGCATGGATGGAATGAAAGAGACAAATAAATATTTTTGCCTCTGGGAATTCTTGTCTAAGAACTTTTCATTCTACTGCATCTTTATCCATCATTATTGCCTTTACCGACATCCATGTTTCATTCCGGCATTTAAAAGTCCATTATCCATTTCACCGAACTTTCATCTTCTTGATTTAAAATACATGCTCCAGCAATTTCATTTTGCCCTATTAAAATAAATGTACACTTTAATAATAAAAACATAAACAAAATTGGATATTTGTTGTAGTCAAATGTAGAATTTAATGAAATGTAAATTGTTTAAAAAAATTACCATTGCCATCTTCAACGAGGAAGATAAAGCAACTGAATCTTATATTGTTCAGCTTATAGATGGCATCCAGAAATATAATTTCTGGATAAGCATGAAACACTTTGGCCTTTCATTATCTTGAAAATACAAGCCCTTGAAATAAAATGTGAAATTAACTAAAACAAAGTCTAAAGCAAAATTAAAAATTGAAAAACAGGAAAGGAAGTATACCTGTAGTTCATCATTCTCCACTAATACTTTTATTTGGCATCTGTATTCGCTTAATTTTTTAATTAGTTTCTGTACATTTGATTTACTATTTTTGCTGAAGTTTTGTGATATATTTGATAGATCTTTTAAGAGAATTATCTGTTAAAAAAATTATCTCTCTCACCAAATATATACATATTGTAATTATGATGCATTAAGGTATTGTATAAATGCTTTGTAGCAAGGACCAAAGTTGTCTATAAATACACTAATTTTTTTAAAACTAAAACCAGTCATTTTTCCAAGTCAAAATAATTATTTTATTGTGAAAAGAATGTTACAAGGATTTTTGAGAGCTAAATATGAATGAAATTTTGAAACAGATTAACACACAAGCATGTAGAATGTAATATGCAAAATGGTACAATTATTAAACAAATATTTTATATAGGTATAAGGTAATAAGGAGAAAGTTTATTTTAAACTAAGCACAGTAATGCATTAATTTTAACATGTTTGATAAAGTTGATTTCCATAATGTAGTTAAATATTTAAAAAACACTAATGGATAATGTTTATTTTAAACCGTTATGCATCCAATTGTTAGATGAGAAGGATGCAACCACTAAACTTAATTCTTTTCTACTTTTATTCATATATTAAAAA